CTTCAGCACTTCAGTACACATATGCCTGCTCCCATGATATCATAGCTGAAATCACTGCCAACAAACATAACGTACACCTCTTTCAGTCTAGAGTCTTTAAAGGAAGTCCATTAGCCTAACAAGGCTTCGTTGTCTGGGTAGTACCAGCATAAACTAAGAGGCAGCCAATTTTTTTCCCAGCTCTCCCCATGCTTTTTTGGATTGAAGAAGGGATGCATGTCTCTCTTGCGTGTCTCCAACCAGCCTCAATTAAAATGAGTGTTTTCTTCAGCGTAAAGTCCCCAGCCTCATTACAACCTATGCAGATCTTGGTTTGGATCAGCTTCAGATCTGGTCTCAAGAGAGGGAGCTGAAGAAGTTATCCTTACAGTCTTAACTCCATCTCTCCTCCGCATGCCTGCTCCCTGGACAGTCAGCAAAATGCCTTTCTGGCTGTGCCAAGGACAGTATTGACAGGCTACTCATGAGCTCATGCTCATTGCCTCCATGGTCTCAAGGCTGCTTTAACTGCTAGCAGACTATTCAACATGCTTTGGGGTAAATTCAACATTTCCGAAGGAATGGAACATTGATGGTATTGATTGCTGGACTTTCCCTTTTCCTAGGAGAGGAACAATCAGAGCTGAAGAGAAAAAATTTGAAGTGAGCCAAAACGACAGTAGATAACTACCAAGAAGCCTATTTATGTGGAGAACCAGCCAATGGCTGCCATACAGTGCTGAAATCTGCCACAGATTCCAGACCACTGGAGGTTCACATACTGCTGCCTGAATAGCAGGAACTTGCCTTGCCATCAAAGGTGCCCGGTAGATCATCCTCTAATGCTCTAAGGAGACAGAACTGCTACAATCAGCTGCAGCTTGCGCATGAAGAGATGAAGCCAAATTGATGGGTTGCTGCAATTTATACGCACTATAAACATTTCAGTCTTTCACCCATATGGGGTTCAATCCGTTACCAAATGGACCAAGCCTCTTGGCTGCCTGTCCCCATCTGCACTGAAACAGCATCAGCAATGTGGTTGCTACCTCCACAAAAAACATAATTGAAATAAACTATCTTCTCTCATCAGTATCACTAATCTCAGTTGCGCTAGCCTCCTTTCTAAGAATCTCCAGTCACTGCTATCTCCTTTTCAGCTGCACAACTGCGAACCACAAGGAAAGCGTAGAGGTATGCAACGTACTAGCAGTTGCTCTGGGCTTCTCCCCCATTTTGCTGAGCAAACCTATCATGGATTGTGTTAGATAACACAACAGTTGAAGCAAAGCTGCAGCAAGCAGTCTGTTCTTCTGCATTGTCCTATTTGCTGTATACAGACAGGTGCCATTTCTCAGCTGTTGAAATCGATGTAATTTCAGCACATTCAGAAGGACTGCACTGAGTTTGGCTAGGTGCAAGTCTCACCACTCACTATTTGTAAATTACACTGAATTCATTTGTGTGGAGGGAAGAGCTATTATGTTATGGGCAGAAGCCCCTGAAAAACTTCGGAAGTCCATATTGATGCAATTGAACTACATATTTTCTAGAGCAGACTCCTAAAAATGCAATGCAAAAACGCAAAAGGGCAATTCTTACATTAGTGAGAGCCATCGTTATCCAGGTCAAGGAAACAACTAAACCATCAAGTTTTGCTGACACCTACTATTCACTAGCACCATAGCACCACAAAGAGATGATACTTCTGCCACATAATAATATCAGGCTTCTGACATTATTATGTTGTTGGGTTTTGACCTTTCAGAAAGGGAGAAGGCCCACTGAGTTCATAACATGATGCTTTGGCTGGGAGAAACAAAGTTCAGAACTTTCATCCTTTCTGAAGTCAGCTGACTTCCTATTTTGGAGCCCATCGCATTTCAGCACAAACCCAATCATTGTGATAAAACTAGCAAACTGGATGTTCTGCTCAGCTAACTGAGCTTGCTGTCTGCATGTAAGTGCACACAACCCAAGAATTAGGGCTGTAAGCATGAGTGTAATTGGTTTCATATTCCAGTTTTGAGGGATCTTTCCAGACCCATGGCTGTCACGCATGGTATCAAATATAAATCACTGTCTTCACTGGATATCTCCAGTCTCTGTAATACAGAGCATGAACTCCTCTAGCAGCCTCCTGCTAACTTTCAACCATTTCCTCTCAGAACAGAATAATAGGGATATGAAGCCTTAAATATTTTGAGAATGATAAAAATCAGACCTTTCCTACTTAACAGTGCTTTTTTGCTACTAGAATTACACATGCACATACATGCATACATTTATTAAATGTGCAGGTAGACTGGTATGTGTATATTTTTGGGAGGAAAAAAAACTCATAAGTAAAGCTTTGTGAATAGAATATTATGCACTAGTGCTCCCCCTACAGACAAATAGGTCCAGTTTTCTTCTATCTGATTCTCCTTAATTAGCCAAGTGAGAAAGAAAAGTAACAAAGAGGAGAAAATTCATCCTACTGTCAAGAGTTAAAGCAAGTTTATGCAACCCTGTATATTACCTGATTAGTGCCACACAAGATAGAGTCTTTGCAGTATCTACCACAAGGGAAAACACAAATCCTCAGATATGCTTTGAGGTACTTCAGCAAAAAGGAATATGGCGTTTATATGACTAAGACCGGTTACCAGAATGTAATTTTACAGTAACTTCCTAACGTTGGTTTACAAACCCCTTTGTAAATTGCACTGCACTTCCAGATTTCCATAGATGGTTGTGTAATTATGTCTAATAGATATAAAAATAATGACTACACTTGGCAAATTACCATTCAGAGGACTGGATTACTATCTAGAGAGCATACCATTTAATAAGATAGTTTACATAGCAGAGACTTGCAATTCACCAGAAATATCCTAATATAACAAAATGGTTGTCATATAACAAGAGTTCACTTACACAGGAACATGAGAAACAAAGAACAAGTGATGCTACTAAGCAAAACTAAAAGAAAATCATGGAAGAACAAACCTCAAAACTGGAATGAACTGAAGCTATCCAAGATCACTTTTGCTGTGCTGCAAATTTGAATGACAGGACAGCACTTTTCAGATAAAAGCAGCAAGAAAATATAATAATGCAGAGGTACATCACCGTTAAATGAAGCAGGGCATGCTATTGCTGTCTCTTGTAAAATCTTTTGCTCCATGTAATTACGAAGGCATCTCAACACTTCAGCAGCCAGAAGTGTTCTTGAAATATGCAAACTGATTAGTATTTTTCCCTAGACAGAACAATGACAGGCTTGGACTAACAGTCAGTAAGAGGAGTAGTAGGAACGAGAGAGCACAACAGTGTTAGGATAAAGGCTCTTAGGAACAAATGC